TTCCTCAAATGTATAAACCCTTAGTTTTTTTTCCTTAGGGTTTTTTCTTCTTTTCTTAGTTTTTTACCTCTTTTCTCTCTTTCAGATTTTGCCATAGAGAAATCTCTTGCTTTTTCATCTCTCCAATTTGTGAACCAACCACCAATCTACCAACCAGCCAATCAGCCAACTACTCAGCCAGTCAACTAACTCATCCCAGAGACAAAGATTGGAGGGAATGCTTGAAGCTAGTACAGAGACCAAAGCAAAGTAATACTGTATCATGTACAGACATCAACTCTGTGAAGACAGTCCCTCCTGCGGTAGGAAGTCAGCCTTGAACATCTAGGCTTAGAGGAGGCTGGGAAAGGTCACTGTTGGAGAAGTCAGTGGTTGGGGGCAGGTCAGGATCCAGGGCTCTTAATTATCAGGGAGAGATTTTGCTTTTTTAAAATGTCAGACCTACTGGTGTTTGCTCTCAGTTTTCTTTCTTCTAAAAATCAACTCTATTGAGGTGTACTGCCCAATCAAGATATAGAACATTTTCATCACTCTAGCAAAATTTCTTGTTTTTGGGAATCACATCACTGATGTGATTTCTATCACTATAGCTGAGTTTTGTCTATCCTAGAACTTTACATAAATTGTTCTTTTCTTTTGACTTTATGTAGTTTTTTCCTCATGTGGGAGTAAAAAGAATTTTTGTAGTTTTATTTTTTTAAATATTCAAATTGGATTCACCTGACATTTATTTTGGTATAGTGTGTGAAAGGCACAGATCTAATTTCATTTATTTTCTCCCAGAGAGCTACCTGGTTGTTTCAACATCATCTATTGATAAAGCTATCTTTTTTTTTCTCATTGGTTTAAATGCCACATTTATCATATATTAAATTCCCAAGTGTTCTTGGGTGTATTTCTGGAGCCACCTTTCTGTTCCTTTGATGTGTTTATTCATGTCTCAGTACAATACTCTTTTTTTTATTTTAAAATAAGCATTTGTTTATTGTTTAAGTATCCAAAGAAGAAAATATAAAGAGGTCAAAACCAGAAATGTTCTGTTATACTAAAAGTGATGTCATCTGCAACCATTTATCCAGGCAAGAAGAGTCATATCAAAGCTTTCTTCATTCACGTTTTTATTACACTTCTGAATATTTGTATAAGTGAGTAAATGGATGAACCACATTCCAAGCCACAATCTTAAATACTGATAAAACCTGGTTGTGATGAGCAAAAATAAAAACATTCTATATACACATGCCTCACATACTCTTTTTTTTTTAGACACATTTTTGCTCTGTTGCCAGGCGCCAGGCTAGGGTGCAGTAGTGCAATCTTGGCTCACTGCAACCTTTGCCTCCGGGGTTCAAGCAAGTCTCCTGCCTCAGCCCCCTGAGTAGCTGGGACTACAGACGTGCGCCACCATGCCCAGCTAATTTTGTTATATTTTAATAGAGACAGGGTTTCACTATGTTGGCCAGGATGGTCTCAATCTCTTGACCTCATCATCTGCCCCTCTCGGCCTCCCAAAGTGCTGGGATTACAGGCATGAGCCACCACGCCTGGCCCGTACTCTTAAGATGTTAAACAGTACCATGTTCCCCTACCTGTCTAACCATATGCCAAAATGTTGCCCGTCAATGTTAGTGAATTTTAACTGACATATAATTCCATTTCGGTGTCACATTATTAATCCCATAGTGAAATAAATGTTTCTAAAACATGAAATTCTTTCCTATAAGAAAGCATGAAATAGGCATGAAACTACACTGGGTTGAAATTTTAGTCATTTTAAAGGTCACTATTTCTGCTTTATGGCACTGGGTTGCCTTTTCCAATATTTAAGTCTCACATACACCTTTAAAAAGAACTGTTATGACTAGTCAAGTCGCACATGTCAAATTATACAAGATATGGTCCCATGAAAACACCAAAATATTTCAGGAAATTGAGCAGCGATAGCATATATAAAGGTTTATCACATCTCAATACTCCATATAAAACAAGTAATGCCAACATACCCTGGTTTGATGGCTTCTCTTCTGGAACACGCTTGTTCTAAAGTTTTATTTTTTAATTAGCCTATGGCACTTACTTTATTTTCTAATTTTTTCCCAAGCATTACAATAAACCTTTGTTTTAAAAAATTACCTGATTCCAATTATTGTTCATGTACAACTTTAAAATGGCAATCTGAGTTCTCTTCTTGACACACTCTGTACTAAATCTTAGTACTCAGTTTCATCAGGCTGTTTGCCAATTCATATATTCAAAAGAAACATTATAAAATGTAAAAGGAGAATGGAGTACATTGGGAATAATCAACAGTTTAAGATTATCAATAATTTTGATATTAACAATAATTTCTTAGCTGTCCTTTAACGATTTTTGTTGGAACTCTGGCAAATGTCTTTAATATTCTCATGACATTAATATTTAAATAGGGGCAGAGAGAGATCCAAGATGGCCGACTACTAGCAGCTCAGGATTGTAGCTCCCAGAGAAAGCGCACAGAACGAGAGGACACCACACTTTCAGGTGGATTTTTGTTGCCTACAGACCAGGAGATTCCCAGCAGAGGAGCCCCACAGGTTGCCAGCGTGACTCTTGTGGCTGGCGTGGCAGTTTTGCTGGCGCCCCGGCGTGGCGGTTCTCGGCGCAGAGTAAACAGGACTGGGTCCCCTTTTGGTCAATGTGTGGAGCTCTGGGAAGGCAGAGTCGCCCATTCACCTGATTGAAAAAGGGATTCAAGCGGGAAGCCAGACCAGAGATTTCTGGACAGAAAAGCACCACAAATCTTAATGCTGCTGTTTTGGCCGGCGCAGTGGGTTGCTCAGATTTCGGCACTGGGAATCAACAAGTTGGACGTCCACTCAGAGACCTAATTTGAAAGTTGGCAATTACAAAGATGACAGGTGGATGAACTCACAATGATGGGAAGAAACCAGCATAAAAAGGCTGAGAATACCCAAAATCAGAATACCTCTCCTTCTACAGGGGATCACAGTTCCTCATCAACAAGGGAACAAGGCCTGATGGAGAACGAGCGTGTTCCATTAACAGAATTAGGCTTCAGAAGGTGGATAATAAGGAGCTTTTGTGAGCTAAAAGAACATGTTCTAGCCCAATGTAAAGAAACTAAGAACCTTGAAAAACGGTTTGACAAAATGCTAATGAGAATAGACAATTTAGAGAGGAATATAAGTGAATTAATGGAACTGAAGAATGCAATACGAGAACGTCGCAAAGTATGCACAGGTTTTAATAGTCGAATTGATCAAGCAGAAGAAAGGATATCAGAGGTCGAAGACCAACTTAATGAAATGAAACAAGAAGACAAGATTCGAGAAGAAACAGTAAAAAGGAATGAGCAAAGTCTCCAAGAAATATGGGACTATGTGAAAAGACCTAATTTATGATTGATAGGTGTACCTGAATGTCATGAAGAATGAATCCAACCTGGAAAACACTCTTCAGGATATTATTCAGGAAAACTTTCCTAACCTAGTAAGGCAGGACAATATTCAACTCCAGGTAATCCAGAGAACACCACAAATATATTCCTCAAGTAGAGCAACTCCAAGATACAGAATTGCTAGATTTACTAGGGTTGAAATAAAGGAGAAAATTCTAAGGGCAGCTAGAGACAAAGGTCAGGTTACCCATAAAGGGAAGCCTGTCAGACTCACAGCAGACCTCTCAGCAGAAACCCTACAAACTCGAAGAGAGTGGGGGTCAATATTCAATATCCTCAAAGAAAAGAATTTTCAACCCAGAATCTCATATCCAGCCAAACTAAACTTCATAAGCGAAGGAAAAATAAAATTTTTCATGAACAAGCAAGCACTCAGAGATTTCATCACCACCAGGTCTGCTTTACAAGAGCTTCTGAAAGAAGCACTACAAACAGAAAGGAACGACCAGTATCAGCCATCCCAAAAACTTACCAAAATGTAAAGATTATCTCTATAATGAAGAACCTACATCAACTAACAGGCAAAATAGCCAGCTAGCATTAAATTACAATATTGAACTCCCAAATATTAATATTAATCCTAAATTTAGATGGATTAAATGCCCTAATTAAAGACACAGGCAAATTGAATAAAAAGTCAAAACCCATCGGGACGCTGTATCCAGATCTATCTCACAAGCAATGACACACAAAGACTCAAAACAAAGGGTTGGAGGAAGATTTACCAATCAAATGGAGAGCAAAAAACAAAAACAAAAAGCAAACAAACAAAAAAACAGGAGTTGTAACTTTTGTCTCTGACAAAATAGACTTTAATAGCAGCAAAGACTAAAAGAAACAAAGAAGGACATTACATAATGGTAAAAGGATCAATGCAACAACAGGAGTTAATGATCATAAATATATATGCACCCAATATAGAAGCACCCAGATACATAAGACGAGTTCTTAATGACTTATAGACTTGGACTCCAGCACAATAATAGTGGGAGTTTTTGATACCACATTGTTAATACTCGACGGATCAATGAGATAGAAAATTGATAGGGACATCTATGATCTGAATTTAGACCTGGAATAAGCAAACTTAGTGAATATTTATAGAATTCACCACCCCAGGTCTACAGAACATACATTTTTCTCAGTATCATATTACACCTATTCTGAAAGTGACTACATAATTGGAAGTAAATTACTCTTCAGCATTTGCATAGTATCTCACAGACTTAAATGAAATATTAGTTGGCTGTTTGTTTGTTATTTTCTTCCCTTATTCCTTCCTGTCTCCGTTGTTAAGTACAATTATCGACATAAAAGAGGTTTTTATTACCTATTTTTAGATTGCATTCCAGCCTGGGCAATAGAGCAAGACTCCTGTTCTCTCTCCCCCTTTTACTTTCTCTTTCTTTCTCAA